GTATAAAGCGATCGTAATGTTGAAACTGACCTATCGGGCACACCCTCCGGGGAAAGGCAGTGCCAGAGTTTAGAGCGGTAGACTCAGTCGAAAGCTGCTTTCAGATCTAGGAAGACAGAGATGGTGGGTCTACGAAAAGAATGCCGATGTCTACGGAGGTAGACCACTTGCTCGAGCCTCCGCGCTGAATTTCGTGTTAATCACTCAGCCGTCCGCCCTGCCACATTTAGCGATGTGAAATCTGGCTTTTATGAACCGAGGGTATCTTATCGTTAGGAGTATGCAACCAGTGGTGCCTATGTCAAATCTTCATAAGTAAATGGGGTAAAAGGTATCTCATACAATGAGATGATGACAGTACGGTATCAACAAAATTTTCGTTCTCCTCCAAAGCCGGTGGTTGCAATCGGTTGACAATACTCTACGGCGATCCGAGAGGTAGATACCCAAACAAATACTTTAATGAGATTGACATTGTCACCTTAGTAGTAGACAGCTTAAAACATGGGTCTAAGTTATCCAGAAAGACGAGGAGTGCCCAGACCTCCGAATGGTCTGCGGGGATCGGCAATCGAAAAGAAACTGAGTTACAATCTGTTTTGAGGTTACTTTAAATCACTGCACCTGAGCAGTAACGATCTGAAATATTTATGGAGGTAATTATGTGACGGGATAGGTTTCATTTGTGCATGGAATTTGATGAGCAAGGTAGATGTCACAAGAAGGTTAAGAGTGACCAGAAAATTACATGATCCACAAATGTTGTGTGACCGACTTGATTACGTCGTTTGTGTTCGGTTTTCCAATTGTGGTCTTCGGATTCATTTTAATCAACGGTTTGCGACATCGAGTATTATGGTTGAGTATCGTGGATCTACTCAATTTCGGAACACATCTAATTTGTCCATAACCCTGTGTAATAACCCCAGTGTTTCATTCACGTTTAGTCTTGCTTGATCACATGAGTGACCTAAACCTGGCAACCGGAGCCAGAATGTGTCAAGTTATTGATATTGTACGAGGAAAGTGAAGCACACCGTCAGTTGCCTACGAGCATGACGGGTGCAGCTATACTTACTGAGGTCCGTGAGCAACGCTTTTAGACCGGCTTCCTCGTCCACGCCGGTTTCTACATAAATCTTCTCACGTTCCTCTTCCGATAATTTCTCTTCGTCGGAAGATGAATTGGTCATATAATCCACCTAAATAAAGAAATCAAGAAATAACTGATCAGCGTCACCGGTCATTAGTTTATTTCTAAATTTCATTGAACGACAAAATTGATCGAAATCTATGTTTGGGTGTAAAGTAGAATAACTTTCTGATAATGGAAATAAATAACACCCCCGCGAACGCAAAAAAGCCGCACAAGTTTGTAAATGGACACCTGGTGGATTTGAGTTCGTTACTGGTGTCGGACGAAATTACATCCATGAAACTGAAAACAGGGAAATGAAATAATTACATGCACAACTGCTACAAAAACTGCGATTTGTACTGAAGCTACGCAGTAGCAACAAACCTCTGAAGACATCTTAAAATAGTATTAATGAGGGATGGACAAGATTAATGGAAATGGCTGTATTGATATTTGATTATTCTAGCGGCTTCGTTTTCCTATGAGCGTGGACTATCACCTTCTTGTCAGGTTAGTGTGCGCACGCACATGCATTCAAGCATCGTCGAAGAAAACAACCTGAGGATCATGTTACAGTCTGCCTCGTTAAAAAAAGTCAACTGCCTGGTGGGACCTTTGGATTTGGTCGTGGTATTTTTCGCTATCACCGCGGTTTTGGCTTTCTCTATGACACATGACCTCTGGATTCACTTTTGCATCAATTACCATAACCTCAATGATTACAACGAGCTGAATTTAATCCCCATCCCAGTATCCGAGGTAGACGTCAGTGAAGCGTCTTCATGTGCTTTTTCACGCTTTGTGAGGAATGAAGTTGAAAGGATCAAAAGAAATGTAAACGGCCAAAGGAGAAAATATCGTGCTGACTGGAAAGTAGCATTAGAGCAGGGAAACACAAACACCATTGGTTTCCCCATCAATATGTCGTCAAATGTCTGCTCAATTATCACAAAGTCATCGAATACAGGTTTCCTGGTTTACAACGGGGGGTACTTCAAAAGTTGCGTGTTACTTTTCCCATAATCCTGGTTATGTGAAGCGGTAAGTGACAAATTAGTTGGCAAAGAAGGCTTCAATTTGATTTGTGTAGATACATCTCTTATTTGCATGTACGTCAAAGCTACCGTGAAAACAGTTTTTATTGAGGATCTTGTCTACCATAGACGAATAAAGTACGTTTTTGGCTTGACTTGAAGGAACAAAATACCGTTCACATACCCACCAATAAAAACATTCAATAAAATATGCAAGAGATTGGCTGATTTGTTGACAAACGAGTACTGTGACAGCCCACACCCCACAATTCAGTCATAACTTCAAGATAGAAACTTTAAAATTCAAAGTACACAAGGTCATTTAGATAGACCTCAGGAAAGAACTCACCTCATCTCCTTCGTGATCGTCCACCTCACTCTCATCTTGCGCCTCCTCCATCGGATCATCTTCTTCGGACGACGATCCAAGCACCCGAGTTTTCTTCTTCCGTTTCTTAACCAATCGGCGCATGCGTGAAACTATTGCTGCATCTCGTTGCTTCTTCCTCAATAGACGTGCCCGTTCAGCTGCAGACATCGGGCGTTTAGTCTTCACGGTGAGATCTGTTGCGCGTTTCTTGCCGGATCCTTTGCTAGTATCGGCCCCATCTCCAACTTCATTCTCGTCCTCTTCCTCATCGTCTTCATCATCATCCGCATCACTAGCATGATCCAGCTCCTCCAGGTCCGTGAGTTTCAACGAGCGGTCGGTCGTACGTCGTCCAGCTGATCCGGGACCGGAGCCCTTTGCCTCTTTGGTAACGCGTGCAGAGCTAGGCTCTCCTTCAGTATTCGATCGGCTCTCGTTGACTCCCGATAAATATCTGATGGATGATTTTCAGTACGTGGATCAAAAAAGGTGTGGTTATGTTAAAATAACAACCAAACGAGCCATAAAAACTTCAGACTGCATCATTCACAACGGTATCGCTTCAACAATTCTCATCTGTATAAACCCAAAAGAAAACGTCGATGGACAATCAGAAAACAATCTATTAGACACTTAATTTTACGTGCCTAACTAATTATTATTTTCAATTCGGGGAACCAAGTTTCATCACAAAACCAATGTCACGGTGGTGGTCGCGATGGTAATGTTCTCGAAATAAAAAAATTTGGATATTCCAACAGCTTTTTCTATGATAACAATACTTCCCAAGAGCATCGAAACAAGGAAAATGGAAATCCAAGATGGAATAGCCAACTGCGATCGAAAACGATCGCGCTCTAGCTAATGCCTAAAGTGAAAGTGAAGCAAGTTTCGACCGTGCAAAATCGACAGCCAGCAACAACCTTTCAAATGTGCTTTTTCACAACAAAAACAAATGTAAAGCGAAGTTCGTTCGCAAAATGAGGAGGAATTTACACTTCAATGGGATGGTTAATGGTGGCTTGGAAAAATATACTGGAGGTCCCAGCTTTGATTGCAGGTAGATGCCTCCAAAGAAGTGAACAACCGAACAAGAACTATCATTGATAATCTCGGGAGAACTGCAATCTTACTAGCAGTCAACTATCAACCGATCATTGTAATCGTTTTCTGAAGATCAGAGCAACATCAGACGAACACTATCATAATCGTGCAACAAAACAGTGAATTGAACTGCGTTGATCTGTTGCAATATACACAATGTACGAATGTGTAATGAAGGAGAGGAAAAGAAAGTGAGCCGCCATAGTAACCTGGGCTTTTATACCTTTTTTGGAATTCTGTATGTATCAAGTTTGAGCTTAAAGTGCATCAATACTGATGGTAACTCGATTGTCTTAGCTAGTTTATATCAAGGAAATAAACGTGGAGAGTAGTGGAGGATTGGATTTAATTACATCGTGGATTTCAGCGTGTATAGAGCAAATCAAGCGTAAACTGAAAAGCTAGATCGCACCGGACAGCTGTTTTGACTCGATTGGGTCTCATCAGCAGTGTGCGAACCGATCGACCCAACTGGAAATCTGACCCGGGACCTCAAAGGTAGAATGCAAAGGGAACACTAACTTAGCCTTCCCTATCGAGCGATATATATATATATATTCAAATTTCGGTCGTGCTACATTTTTTGTGCTCTAGTGAACAATTTATCAACTTTTACGTCACACATTGCATTTAATCGTTTGAATTATTTTTTCTTTCATCGCTTTCATGATTACGAATCTTTGAAGAATTTGCAACATTACGTGTTATCGCGCAAGAGCGGCATTCTCTATCAGTTCAGTCGTCAAGTTAAAAACAGATACAAAAGATGCAGATCGTCTAGATCAGGTTTCCTCAGAAAACACCGAGCAGGCTGGCAAGTGGCCTTCCGTAACACAAAACCTCAGAAAATGTCTATCCCTGTCATTTGTTCATCAAACGTACGATCACTATTTGGCAAAATGAGCGACTTCACGAAACTTATAAGGACGAAAAAATACCATGCACTGGGGATAGTTATGCTGCAAGAAACGTGGTTACATCCTGACATCAACGACTCTTTGGTTGAGCTGGATTTATTTTATATGCATCGGTTGGATAGAGACTGTTTACCACGAAATCGAGGCGGTCTAATAACCTACACTAAATCATCTTGGTGTAAGTCTACAAAGATTATCTTCACTTACAACGCAGGATATATCTCATGTCTTTCGGTTGAATGTAAACCCCGTTTCCTTAGTAAATATCGTTTTATTGTGGCATCAAACATTTACATAGCACTTTCCAGTACAACTTCTGATGTACAGACGTTTGCTGATGTATTTATATCCGAACTTTCCAACTACACAGAACGCTCTCTTTTTATTGTTAGTGGCGAGTTTAACCATGCAGATATTCATTTCTTGATATGTCTCTCTCTTTCCACAATGTTGTAAATTTCTCCACAAGAGGAAACGCGCATCTGGATCTTATGTTTTCGAACGATCCTGACCCGTTTGCTGTGCGAAGAGGAGCCCCTCTGGCAAACTCCGATCATTGTACCATCAATGTTTTACCAAAAGTATATTCAAAGAAACATCATAGCACACTAAACCGTACATCCAGCCGGAAGATTTCCCATAGGCTGTGTGACCCGGTCCACTCGGCATCACTGAGTGAAATGGTCTCTGGTACAAATTTTGATCACTTCTTTGATCCAAGTGTCTCGATCGAATGTGAACACCTCACGAGTTATTTGAACTTCTGCTTTGACATCTGCTACCCCATAGCCCCTATATACATCAGTCCCGCCAGATTTTCTTCTCCCACTTTGAAGACCCTCAGAAGAACCAAGGAATGGGCACATAAAAATCGTGATCGACTTTTAGTTAAACAAACATCAGTGCTGATCAAGAATGAGATCCAAAATCTTGATAAACTCTAAACTGAAACCCTTCTTGGTGGCCGTAATTGCAAGCAAATCTGGAGCGCTATGAAAAAACTTTGTGGAACAAAAGTCAGACTACGCGGGCCTAAACCCACAGCAGATGAACTCAACTGCATGTTTTCCACGTCAACTCAAACTGAAGTATCGCACCCTTATTTCCAATCAGTTGATCATCGTTTCACATGTCAGTCCCAATCGGGTGCGTGCACAGCTGAAGTGCCTCAAAATAGCAAAAGCTTCCGGTCCTGACGGACTATGTCCAGTCGTCCTCAGGGAATGTGCGCATTATCTGGCGGAGCCACTTGCCAGTATTTTCAACCGCTGTTTTGAGGAACAAAAAATTGTCGACTGCTGGAGACCTGTGCGCATTACACCAGTCCCCGAAAAAGAAGCTGGCAAACTACGACCAATCACCTGCACTTTTATTTTACTAAAAAATTTTGAAAAGTTTATGCTCAGTAACATTATTCCCAATACTGGGCAGGTAGATGAAAACCAATTAGCTTATCGCAAACAACTTTCTACCTTAGATGCTCTCGCTCATTTGGTAAACTCAGTTTTGCGATCCCTAGATGCGCATAGTAGGGTATTTCGTGTGTTTCCTCGACTATAGTACCGCTTTTAACTGTGTTGACAACGGTAGGCTTTTGTCCCTACTCCAAGGTGCTGGATTGTCCAATGATACCTTCTCTCTACTCCAAGATTATTTTGCTGGTAGAACACAATTCACAAAGTTTCTTGGAAAAGTCTGTGACACCCTACCCGTCAACTCAGGAGTGCTTCAGGGAGCAATTTTGTTCCCATTTCTTTTCTCTTTCTATATTCGTGACCTTCCCACTAACCCAAATGATCTTCTTATTAAGTATGCTGATGATGTCACAATTGGTTCCAAATTCCAAGGTGATTCCCGCCT